TTGCAAATAACTGTTTGGCCCAGATAAAAGTTTTTTTTGCTGCTATATAAAACTGTTTTCGATTACTGTGTATGAAGCTTATGAAATTAGTGTGAATTATATTTTGAAAGTACTATTTATAGGGATAATTTTGGGATAAAGTTTAGACTATTCGCTTTTATATATAAATTGAAATGAAATATTTAAATAAATAATAAATTTAAATAAAATGTTGACACGATATAATTTGAAATGATACCTAGTGGGGCAGCGGGCCCATGTGTGTCACAGGGCAGAGCACCCATGGTGGGCTCAATATCCCTCGGTGAAGTCTTGTGTTATACATCATTAGATTTATCTCAATGAGCTTGTCTAACCTATGACTAGCTTTTGACACTATGATCCATTTTGATAGTTTTTACAAAATAGTGTTACATTAAAAATTGAATAATTCTATAGGCGTCTAATTCACATCATACATTCCTCATTAGTTGCAACTTTACACAAAACAAGGAACTGCCTCGTATCAATTAAAACTTCATCAATATTTTACTTTATAAAAGGAGGGGGGCCCGCTGCCCCATGTTACCCTACTTAAGCACTTTGGTGATACCATTTGCGTCAACTGTCACAAATGATCATGTTTTGATCATCTTTTTGGGATTTATGCACTTGTCTAGGGCGCACTTCGAAAACGATGTACCGTGTGCCGAGCTGAACGGTGTACCGTGTGCCGAGCTGATTTGTAAGTACAAAGGCGTTACTGTGAAGGACCCAGGAGGTGCTTTACTAACGACTACATTTCTGCAGCCTTTTAAAGACTCAAGCACTTTCGCTTTGACCGTTCCTCTTCGTGGTAAAATACTTGGTCTTTTGCATTCTCCAAATATTTTATAATTCTGTTCCTGCATCGCTCAGCGTCCACCCGTAGATTTCCTCTGTCACTGCAAATGGTTCTGCCATATTTGCTGACGTGCATACCGCAGTCGTGACGTGCATACCATTAGTTAGGCAAGGCTTATAGCCTCTCCAAAAGTTCATGTCGAATCTGCGATGGGAATGAGCCTCATGTAATCCAGCCAAAAATAATGTCATTTGTTGAATGGGCTTCTCAGACTTGGTTTGTAAACTATCTAGCAACAATATGAACCGCTTAATTAAGTCTACAAGAGCATCCAACGTTCATGTTTCATAATGGGTATAAGCACAATGTCGTCCTTTAAGAGGCGGAGGTTTACTTCTCTCCGAAGCATGGTCTCATTCTCAAGTCCGTGAATTTCAAAAGCCGTGCAAAACAGCAAATAGAGAGAAATTAATTTAATAAAATTTCTGTTGACGAATGAATTTTTTACTGTAAAAATAAAAAAGAATTTACCACCATATTTTCGAGTCATTCGGTGAGACCCAAAATTGCAAATTTGGATACATCTGATATGTAATTTTATAAAAGTAAATTAAAAAATCGATAAATATGGTTCATGTTTTCTGGATGTTTTGGAACATTCTCTTCCGATTAATTCGATCGAAAAATGCACTTTGTATAGTATAGTATCTTAGGCATTGAAGAATAGGCCTGGAAAGGCATGTCGCCGGTTCTTTTACTTTCCTTGACTAGTTCGCCTATCTAAAAGACCAGCCTTTTGATCAAATCTTTTCAACGGGCGGTAGGTTTAAAAGCGTTTCTAGATTTCAGTTGTTCCGTAGGATACGAGGCATTTCAAGACTAAACATATGCTCCTGTTTCAAGACTAAACATATGCTCCTGCATGGCCTTGTCTAGTCTGTTCTTGAACGAGTTCATACTTGGAGCGTCAACGATATCTTCAGGATGGCTGTTCCACATGTCAGTGACTCGAGGCGAGAATAAATGTTGTTGCATGGATGTGTTACAACGCAGTTTCTTTAGTTCATGGCCGTGGCACTGGCTCATGGTGTTGGACTCATAGACTGTTGGTTCTTGTTTCAAATTCTAGCAATCCTTCTGGGACCTGGTATAAACGGTAGGTTACTGTAGGTAAACGTTTAAACTTCGATGAGGTCACCACGCATACGTTGATAACAGAGGCTTGGAAGCTGCATCATAATCTTCAATCTTTCTTCGTGAGACTTGCTTATTAATCTCGGAATTTTCCTTGGTGAAACACTCACGACTAAATTTTTGTCCTTTCCTAGTTTTGATGACCACACGACGTTTCCAAACTCTAGGTTTGGATGCACGAAAGCGACAAACAACAGCTTCATCGCTTCTGCATCAGTGCATCTAGGTAATCCCACTACTCCGTACTCGTATGAGGGTCTGATCACTCCAAGTCGTTTATTGGCTTTATTAACTTGAGCTTCAATATGCTTAGAAAATTTTAAGTCATTGTCGACACTAATTCCTAAAGCTTTTTATGTCGTCAACTTCGACATCATCACACTATCATTGCAACCATGTCTTCTCATACTGCAATCTTGCTGTTCATTGTTCCTGCGAAAGTGGATTACTTTACACTTTTTAGCATTAAAAAGCAACTACCACGCATCAGTCACTCACTGGGGTCGGCGTCCCTCAGATCTGACATGAAGTTTTTCCACGTAAAATGACAAAAATTTAATACAAATGTTTTGTGTTTTATGGACGTTTCAGAATATTCTCTATCGATTAATTCCATCAAAAGATGCAGATTAGTTGGACAGTCTTAGACCCTCATGTACAGGTCAGATTAAATTTTCCAAGTGTGTATTGAAATTTCATGTGTATCATTTCAAGTTTTCTCAACATTTCAGATGATTTGCAGCCTTTTAGTTTTCGTAAACCGGGTTCGGCCGACCGGAGCGGGTCCGGGTCCGGGTTTTAGTCAGTGCTCCCTGTCAGGCTCACAGGCTGTACGCTGTAGGGACGAGTGACGACTGAAGCAGCCCAGCATTGCCCAATACCAGCATAATTTTCATACTTCTCCCCGTGCGCAAGCATGCTGCAGAGCAAATTAGCCAACAGGATTACTTCCTGAAAGCCACTGGGACCAAACCCCTTCATGGATGTAAACCAGCGAGCCAATGAGCTGCAGGCCGCCAAAACAATGGTCGTAACCCACACGCTAAACCCCAAAATATTTCTATTCCATGCAGCCTAGCCCCTTCCCCACTTTCGATAAAGAACGCCCTGCGCCACAGTGCTATCAGTACACTGCTACCTCTCCAGCCTGTCCGTTCTTCTGGAGGCTAAACCTCCACGCTTACCCTTAATTTACCCCCTGCTCCCCCTCCTTTCGGTACCAGCTTGCGGAAGAATTCTAACTAAACCTAACCTAGCCTAACCTAACCCTTTCGCAGAAAGCTGGAGAATGGAGATAAGGGGGGTAAGTGTGGAGGAAGAAGATGCTGGTGAGTGTCAGGGCTGGGCTTACGCCTGCGAAGTGGGTAAGGCGATGCGACAGTCCGGTGCGGAGCCGTTCCCATTTACGGCAGTCTGGACTCTGGTGTGGTCTGTGGACCCTGTGGCTTACGGCATTTGTAAGAAGTGATGGTATGGGCTTAAATCATTGGTGATTGGTGTAGGTCTGTAGGAGGCTAGGAGCTATTGGGCATAATCCGTTTGTAGTATCAGCTTGTGGGCTGAGCCGCTGCTGAGGCATTGCTTGTTTCAAGCTGGTGTGGCTGCTGTGGCAAGATGAGGCAAGTAAGAACAGCTGCATGCAACATAGATGATAGGTGTTATGCTAACTATTTCTATTGCATGTAGAGGGTTGGCATTGGCTCTTGAGAGTTGGGCTGATTTAAGAGTCAAATTTTTGGGCTATGGCGGCGCTCCCAGGCTGTCAGCTATTTCCTGCTGGGGTCTCGTACATGTATATCATAACAGCATGAGGATTGAAGAGACTTAAAAGAGAGCCAGCGGCGTTCATACAGATGATACAGTCATACAGCCAACACCAAATCCTAATGATTGTGTTGATGTGATCTGTGATATATGTAAAAAATTTTCACAGTGAATGTAATTACAATAATGCTAAAAATGCATTGAATTGAGTGGGGTCTTGGCCTCTCAGGTGTGGTTGAATTAGGTTGGATTGGGTTGAATTGATTTTGGTTGGATTGGGTTGGGTCAGGTTGCATTGGGTTTGGGTTGGTACATGCTACATATGAATATGATGTTCCTAACTTCCTATGGCCTATGGCCCTATGGGGCCCGGGGGATATGGCTATTCACCCGCTATTGCAGCCTATGGGGATGGGCCCAATGGGGCTATGGCTTTTTTCAATTTTTTTGCTGGAAAGTAAGAAAAACAGCCTATTTTAACTGCAATTTCTAAAAATCACCTGTGAATTGTTCATTTTTACCTCTGAGGCTCTGATATTGGGAAACTTTTGTCAAATATTCCAAATAGCCTCCGGGAGTCCAAAATAGGCATCAGAATTTGACTCTTGACATGCCAGAAGAAGATGAAGAAGAATATCAGAAACGTCAACACAACGCAGCAAGTACCAGTGTGACAGTGTCAGTGTGCAAACTGCAACCTAGCCTTGAGGCTTGAGCCTTCTGCTATCTAGATTCTAGACTAAAGTTCATAGAAATCAGTGAACAACTACAAAATGGACATGTTGACCTTGAAGCTAAAACTGGCATAGACCAGGCAACAAAACCTAAAAAATCCAAAAGTCACACTCACAAGCATCAGAAAAGCACCAAAGCCTAAGAAGAACCAGGCAATTCCACAAACCCAATAGCAGGAAGTGGGTCAGGAACCATTCCCTAACTTGCCAGACAGCCAGAGTGCCAGACCAGGTGAAAATCATTAGCAGCTCAAATCTTTAACCTCAAAGTCAAATTCATTTCCTTCAGTATCCTGCCAATAGGCAAGGGGGGTTTTTCTAGGGATTTTGTTCATACATTAAAGATTGATCTAGCCTGGACTAACTTGATCAGCTCTGAAATATCAACTTTCAGATATTTAGTTCATGTAGTTTGTAATATTCTTCTTACGTGTCATTGTCGTACAGAGATTTTGTGTAACTCTTAATTTGCTGTCTAAATCTGATACTATCTTTTGTGTCCCACAGGTTTTATTGATTTACAAATGAATAATTCCAAAATTTAACAAATCATCATGCTGTATCTATTTCAAGGTGCCCGTATTACAGGTGGTAGCTTGAACATCTCCAGACTAATATGTTCAAGTGCCATGCTGAATGCTCCCACTGTTGCTGTGGTAAGTAAAGCTATAAAGAAGCCTCATGTGCTAGTTGTCACAAAACCTGCCTTTGTGCATGAATGAGACTTACTTTCTCATCTATGCTGGATATCACTTGCTCCAACTGCAGAAAATTTCTTGGATGTGTGCTTGACTGCTTCTGTCCCATGAAATATTGCATATGACATTTCATTTAAAACTACATGTGATCCAGTGGATTTATGTTTTATGCACAGTTTAATAGTGGATTTAAATTTTGTTGTATTTTAATAAAGATTAAATGTTGGTCATAAAAATTTTTCTTTGAAGTTTATTATGCATATGAAAGAAATACCTAATCTTGAATCACTGAAGTGAAACTTTTTTTTTTAATTTCCCTTAGGTACATGTTTGATGCTAATATACAGAAATTGCTGGAGAATATTTATTCCTTTTCATAGGCTTAAATACCAAACAGTTAATGGTATTTTGAAAAATAATTGCTATGACAGGTGCTTTCTGGCAGTGGGGTTTACGATGGCTCGGAAGTACACGAGGCTGCGGCCACACTGGCTGGTATCACCAGAGGTGGTGCTGAGGTGCAGTGCTACGCTCCTGACATCGCACAACTGCACGTCGTCGACCACACCAAGGTAATGACCATGACTCAATCTCCTCGTTCATTGCTTCTAACGTATATTAATAGCTGTTAAGTGGGGAGTGAGATCTATAAAGAAAATTTATGCTTTAACACTTAATTAACGGCTCCAAAAATGTCATTTTTAAATTCGAAATTCAACTATAAATCTTGAGCGGCAGTGAAATATTTTTACTTTTCTGTATGACAAATTAATACTATTTGTTTCCCAACCAGGGCGCGCCTGCCAATGGCGAAACTCGCAATGCCATGGTGGAGGCAGCACGTATTGCTCGCGGCAATATAAAACCTTTATCTGAACTAAACAGTTCGTCTGCTGATGCCGTCATCTTTCCTGGAGGTTTCGGAGCTGCTAAAAATTTATCCGATTTTGCCGTGAAGGGAGCAGACATGGCAGTTTCAGAAGATGCCGTGCGGGTGCTCACTGATTTCCACTCGGCCAAGAAGCCTATTGGCTTGTGCTGCATTGCTCCAATTCTTGCTGCTAAAGTGCTTGGGAGTCACAACATCAGCATAACTCTTGGCAAAACAGACGATGGGTCTGGCAAGTGGCCGTACGCTGCCTCCATAACCGCTGCCAAAGCCATGGGCGCAGACGTTGTTGAAAAAGCTGTTGATGAGGTGCTGGTGGACGAGAAGAATAAAGTTGTCACGACACCCGCCTTCATGTACGAAGGAAAGTTCCATGAAATACACGACGGAGTGGGCAAAATGGTCGCTGCAGTGCTTGCACTGCTGAAATGAAAATGTAAAAATTTCCTTAAGCTTACGAGTATCTGTTCATCATTATCATATGCTAATTGTTATTATTTTGAATCCCGAAAATAAAATCGTCTATCAAACTCTAATATAAATTTAACCTTCTTTTTACATCCTTCTTATTCTGTATCCGATAAAGTGGTTGCCGAGACGAATTTGAGTTTCTGATGTTACACTGATGCACTACAAAGTATCACATTGCGAGCTAAAATTACTTTACATCTGCCTCGTGCACTTTTAAGAATTGCAAATCCGATGTTCTTCGCGTAATCGCCAAGTATGTACGAGGTAATATAGATCATAAACAAGGTTGTAGTGTGGTTCACAATGTCGACTTCCATGAAAAGTGGAAAGTTTCATAAGCATTAGTTGGTACAAATAAGAAAATTTTTTAAAGGTTAAAAATACATCTTTTGTTGCAGGTTGCTTGTTAAGCAAAATAGTTGTATTTAATTTACTTGAAGATCTAATACAGATTCAATTTAGATAGGCATGTTAATTTGCTTAGCGTGCGCACCACAACCCTAGTTTCAGTGCTCTTTTGCATTTCAAGTACAGCTGAAGAACTTCCTTCCATAATACGGCGAGTACTAATTTAGTTTGCCCTCCGTAAAGGCTGAATCGAAGCATAATATTAAAACGCTTCACAAATAATGTATTAGTTTGCAATGAACGCCAGTAACTTATTTAACGAAATTCGTGTATTAGAATGAACGCACTAACCTTTGGACTTGAATTAAATGTAGTCAAGTAGACGCTGCTACCATGCAACAAAGTATAGAATTGCCACGCTTTGAATATTGCACTTCATTCTTGCTTTGGCCACCAGTAATATATTACTGAAGCCTTTAATTTGTTTGTAGTTTTCAATAACTTGCAATATTATATTCATTTACAGAACGATTTGCACTCTGAAATTACGATTGATCAAAACTATAGGCAAAAAAGGTATAAAAATACAGAGGTAAAAAAAGTATTTCAACAAGCTGCCTAAAAAATTTTCTCGTGTAATTTAAGAACATTGTTGAGCACAAAGTTTCCATAACCAGAGACAAACATAACATGTTGCTGTTAGAGATAAATAGAAATACAACGTAGAACCGCATTATCCTGGTTCCCATACAATAAATAATTCTAAAGTGAGTAGAAAAACTAAGCACTAGGTAGTCTACGTGTCTTAACACTAGTCGTGTTATATCAAAAAAGGCGTCACAGTGCGCGTGCAGCGTAAGTGAAAGCTCCTCCCGAAGAACCTGCAATGGAGAAAAATCGAGTTTAAATTAAAAAATTTCTTCTTTGAATTTTAAATCCTAATTATCGAACATATATAAATCTACTACTACATGATCCAAAACTACAAAGTGCATCAAACGATTTCCAGTTCGAGAGGTAGCAACAAGTCAATCTACAACGCTGACATCGCAACGTTTTTATTATATTATAAAACTAGGCAGCCCAAACCTGGTTAGTGCTGAGCTGAGTACGAGATTGCATGGAACAGGCGAGGACACAACCGACGGACGATCGCTCAAGGGTCGCCCATGGCCAGCTCGTGGCCCTTGCCGTGCCAGCGCTCCTCCAGGGCCACGTCCACGCCCATGTCCCTGAGGGCGCTCTTGGCCAGGTCTCTGAAGAACCAGCCATGCACACTATCAAAATTTTTGGTCAGTTCACACCATCATTCTAATTTGGCACCCTGGGTCTTTGCAATGCGTCTAGTATTGTACTGAAAAAGGAACAGAAGAAGCCTCATCACACATGTTGCAAGGATGCTTCCCAAACCGCTTCTATTGTTGTTAGTGTTCAGTCAATTCGTTATAAACGTCAACGTAAACGTAATAATAATAAGTAAAACCAGATGAATGTCATTTATCAGGACAATAGACACGTCACGTTTTAAAATCGTATCTAAGAATTTCGGAATTTATTTCCAGCTGTAATCACGGACAATTTAAAATCACTCATTTGATGCAAAAACACACGGTTGATGTCTGTAACTACTACCTCGAGGTGAGTTAATTTGAGTGTCAATTATTCTGATGCTCGTCCACTGCATCGCCAAATTGCTTCATAAAAAAAGCTGTGTGATAATATCTAGCAGTGAATTGTCATTTTTTGTCAACCCTGCTAATGCACCCCATAACAAACACCCGTCAATTTCTGAATCAAACACACGCTAGTCTCCTGAAACACCAAAGCCTCGTATAGTTGTACATCACAAGGCCTAAAAGCCAGTAGCTTTTGCATTTTGAACGGAAAACTATTAAATTATTATATTATAAAAAGTATTCAAAATTATAATATATATTTTTCATTTATTTCCACGGAAGTAATTAAGTAGCTGCTGACTTGACTGCGTCGCCGTGGTTGCTGAGCGCCGCCTGCACCACGCCGTCCGCCTGCATGAGGCGCAGCAGCTCCGCCGCCTGGGGGCTGCGCGAGCACAAGTTGCGCAGGGCGAGGCACCCCATTTTCTGCACCAGTGACGTGACATCAAAATTTGATACACAATAAACAAATTCAGCAACACGACAGCACTCAATAATGAAGCAGCAGCTACAGTGATACTATTACTCCTGTGATGCCCAATACCCTATTGTTACTAGGAACCAAAATGTCGTATGCTTTTGTTCATATAATTGAACTTCAAACCAGCGCTGTACTACAGATACACATGTTCCTGACAATGATTAATTTTATATACAAATGTTCCTACCAAGTATGATATAACAAAGGAAAAAACCTTCATATTTACTGGTGTCACTAAAAAACTACGTGATTTAAATAACGATTTTCAGTGATAATAATATCCTTACTGAAAATTAAAGCCATGAGAAAAACTAAATACGACATACTTACAATAGTACCACTCTAAGCGAAACTACAAAGACAAAATTTAATCAAGCTATTGTACAGATTTAAGCGGTACAGCAGCACTTCATTCTTAACTGTAGCTTGACAACAGAAACTGCCAGTTGCGTTCAAACTTTGTTAATTTACCCACACGCCAATAACCCGACGGATGGTAGACTTATTTCTGAACCATTAGCACATGATCGGGCTGAAACGCTTCATGGGGAACTATATCTAAAAAACAGCGGGTTCTGTCAGAGCCCGCCAGTCACCGGAGGCAAAACGTCAAGCCCGCCAGTCACTGGTAGCAAAATGTCAGTCACTGGCTGCAGTCCGCCAGTCACTGGATGCAAAACTAGTTATTTAGTCTGGGTAAGAATGATAAAAGGAATCACTGCATTACTGCAGTTATAGCTGCCCCATTAAGGAAGAGTAGGGGGAGCTTGTGCTGGTGCTGTCACCACCACCACCACCCTCACCTGGACCTGCTTCTCGTGCTGTCACCACCACCACCACCCTCACCTGGACCTGCTTCTTGTACTGTCACCACCTCCACCCTCACCTGGACCTGCTTCTCGTGCTGTCACCACCACCACCCTCACCTGGACCTGCTTCTCGTGCTGGTGCTGCTTCATGGCCTGCAGTACCGCTCCGGCCGCCCCGCAATCGACGAGCTGAGCTGCGTTCTGCGGGTGACGCAACGCCAGCATCGACACAGCGCTGCAGCCCGCACTGCACACGCCCGCGCTCAGCTGCCGACAAACGTTCAATGTAAAAAAGCACAAGTAATTGCGTGCGCAGTAAGCATTGCAGGGCATTATTGTTGTGTAAAAAGTAATTAGTGTGTTACTATTTTATGCCGGCAGCATACCTGGTGTTTATCCATTGCCTTAACGATAAGAGACGGCGTTCCGCTCTTCATAACGAATGACTTGACGTTGTCATCGCCAGCAAGCGTGGCTATGAGCGCAATGCTCTGTTTGTTGATGATGGCAGAGTCAGGAAAGTTAATGAGGATGCTATTGATGACGTCCAGAGCTCCAGCCTCCGTCGCTTGCTGGCAGTATTCGGCCCGCACGCACACGCAGCTCAGCGTCGCAAGGGCTTCTCCAGCTAACCCTGCCATGCTACATGCCACCGCTCCTGTGGTAAATATTCAACATGATGGAAACAGTGATACTGGACCATATTATTATTTGTTTCTTCAATTAAGTTTGAACATAAACTGTGACCATTCAACATAATTCTTTCCAATTTTTACCACTACAATCTGTGCCAGCAATGACCTGTATGTGTGCTGGTATATACGTAACTTATAATCATAATATGGACAGACAACTTGGAAGCCTCATAAGCAAGAGAAACTTGCCCTTGATGACTTGCAGAGCGACAGCTATGAGCCCCTCCTCCTCCACAAGGTGGCGGCAGTGCTCGTGGGCGCGCCCGATCTCCACTCTTATATCGTCGTCCAGAGTAAAGCTCCTCAGCGCCTGGGGACAGCCAAGTCAAGGGAAGTCAAGTGACTGGTCTTAAGTTACTTAAAAACTGAACTCTTCTATGAAAAGAGTAGTGGAGCATTTGCTTTCGAGCTTTATTAGATACATGTAATCAAGTAGCATGTATTAAAATATGTATCATGTAAAAACAACCAGTATATCCCAGAAAACAACAAACATAACTATGAAAATGACAAAAAAAAATATATTATGTTCACAATTATAGAGAAAGCTAAAGTTCCTTTCACTTTGATGACAAAGGGAAACAACTAACTCATACGTGATGCCGTTATTGCGGTTTATCGAGGCATATTAAAATAATTAGGAACTCTCTTCACTCCAGCAAAACGCTAAAGGTTACATTGGTAAAAATATAGGATCTATTTGTCACTTACGTCTTGTGAAGACATTAACAGCTCTGAATGGTGATCTCGATTTCTAAAACCATCCATTATTTTTGTCATTGATGATAAAAATAATGTTGCAGTCCTGACCTTAACATTGCAAAAGTCCTGACTTCATTTTTTATAGTATTTGACTGCTTTAATTACTAGAGCATTAGATACAAAAAGCAGTGAACTTGCTAAATTTATCCCAAAAAATTTGTTGACTCCCTGTCTAGAGACCTTATCCCAGTTACCAAGATACTAGATTAGCACATGCATCATCATAAGCTAGGATGAGAGTTACACCTTGAGTGTGGCGACCATGCGGCCCTGGTGCTGCTGTGCACTGCAGCCCTGCAATGACGTCACAAGCGCGTGCGGTACACCAGCATTGAACAGCAGCTGGCGGTTGCCTTCATGCTTGATGTTGCAGCTGTGGCACCAGCGAGCCTGCCAACAAATATTATAAACATGCATTTAATACTGAATAAACATAACATAATGTATATTAAACATAACATAAAAAAACATTTTATACTGAATAAATGACGAATTTTATGCAATTATCAATTTTATAGATTAAAATTTGTGGGTTGGTTCAAAGCCTGGCACCATAAATAAATGACGGCCGGACGGTCATTTGAGTGCATATTAACAATAAGTACCTACCATATCAACAAATTAAATAAGCCTGAAAAGTTATTTTTGCAGGGAGAAAAAAAGCATGTTGAAACAATGAGGGGCGCATCAAAATAAATTTGGAAGAAAACATCAAAATGCAATTTTTAAATTGGTAAGTATACATTTTGTTCTAGAATAAAAAATGCACATTTACGCCTAATTTGAAAGAGCAAGTTGAATAGTTACATGCTAAACATATGTTGAACTTGATAATATCATTATAATTGAAAATTGGCAGGGATAATGTGATTGACAGAACAGGGATAATATGAAACATAACAGTGGATAATATGATTGACAATCTAGATCAACAATGTATCGGGTGCTGGTCTATCCTTGTAATGCCACATGGCGTCGGTTGGTGGTCATTCCTAAAAATAAGGAACTCTGGTGCCTCTCCCAATTCAACCTTAGTTGCATGATTTCAGCAAACTGTTCAAACTTATGTCTGAGGGTGAAAATTTATTAATTAGGTATTTTCGATGAGTTATCAGAATTTCTATAATTGTTAGAAATCTTTACTTTAATTCGAGCTACTTACTGCCAGTATAGCTAATTAAAACAAAATAAAACAAATTTAGTGGCTTAAGAGAGATTAAACTCACGAGCACTTCCATGATGTTGGACTGCATGTCACTATGCCAGCACTCCATCATCTCCAGCATAAAATTGACACCCGAGTCCTCCAACACATCAGGATTTCCATCACTCAATGCCTGCATTGCAGTCAGTCCACGACTCAACTTCTCTCCATCATCCTGAACAAAAAGGATTCTAATTAACAGAAACTTGACCCAAAACATCATAGTGCATTACTCATTTACATCAAAGAAATGTAATTAAATAACAAATCATTCCAAAAAGAGAAATTATACTAGAAAGTGTCGAATAAAAGAATCAAGTTGATGAATCTATGAATTCATACAAAAGTTCATTAATAATGATATTGGGTTTACTTATACGAGTAAATAGAATCAATAGTGCCATGTAGCATATTAAAAAAATATAGTGAGGTGAAGAAACATTCAGTAAACAACTGCTATTACCAAAACAGTCACTCTACTGCATAAATGGAGCCTATATATTAGGACATTGCATGTGAAATAGGTACATCAATTGAAGATGGATTTGAAACGAGTTTTTCAAATACTCAACATATTTAGGCATAACTAAACTAAGAGCATAGCAGATAAAGAGAAAGTAATTAACTTGATTTGCCAAAAAATATCAGTACAATTTAGTTGAAAAACTTTTCTGTTCTCTTGGAAGTAAAGATATTCCAGGCTGCCATCTATTATCTATATTTTAAATGTAAGCACATGCCATAGTCCTGTACTGCATAAAATGCACACCTTGGCCTGTTTGAGAAGGCGCATGAGATAGGAGTAAGCACCATATTTAGTTGCCAACACCCGATGGGGGAGAGAAATTTTGCACTCGTCAGAAAAGGTGGTCAAAGCACCTAGTAGATCAACTGGTGCAGTCGTGGCATGGCAATCAGGTTCATCTCTGTCATCTGATGTAGCAGACTTGATCACCTCCAAACTTTCAAGGACTGGGTGAACCACCTTCTCATTATTGGCATCCAGTTTCACCTCCTTTATAATGTTGGCCAGCAACACACCCTGCACACAAATTTAAACATGTTGATGGATTAGTTAAGCACATACATGAAAATAAAATGGCTACTAAAGCATGTATTAGCTGAATTAGGCAAGCACACACATGAAAGTAAAATGGCTTCTAAAACATGTATTGGCTACATAACATGAGTAACATAGCCAACTATTAATAAACAGTACAATATTATCAGAATTTGTATTGGCTAAGGTACTCAATAGGAGTAAAGTAGCCAGCTATTAATAAACTGAATAATATTATTAGAAATAGTAAGTACAATTGCAGCACATTTCTAAATGTCAGGTAAAGAATAAAAATTTCCTTGCCCTCAGATTGAGGTTTAAATAAACCTCAATCTGAGGCAAGGAAATTATTATTCAATGATACAGTGGTCCCTACAAGTTAAAGCTTATCTCTTCCAGAAAGAGCATTAACTTCTAAAATTATCTGTCATTTATTTCCATGAGAGATATAACAGAAAAAATATCAGTGCATTATGAACTTTCACTTTCTATTATATTGCTTTGAAGTGATAAAGTTAGCAAAGAATATGCAAAATGAGCAGCAATTTAATGCATGGCTTGCATTACCTTTAAAATTTTACCAACATATAAGTCAGAAGCAGAAGTAAATTTTGACATATTGCATCAACTTCTGAATATATGAGTTCCATAGCCATTGATTTCAAGCATTTGATTGTCTTAGAATCAAATGCCCAGTTGGTCCAAGTTATTATCAGAATACAAAGGGGTAAATGACAGCAGGTTTTTTCCAAAACTAGAAATTGGCAATGAATTACCTACACTGAAAAAAATAACTTAATCAAAGTTCTATTTGCTAAAATAGTAGATGAGCTGTGATAAAAAATAACAACTAAAAATATTCATTAGATCTCTACATTAATTGTTAACTAATTGGTTGAAAAAAATTAAATAGTAAAATTTCTTTGGTTGCATAGCAATATAAACTAATTTTATTTTCAGCATGTATAAATTAATTGCTCATAAATTCTCTTCTGCAGACATATTAATTGCTTTAATTTTGCAGTTAGGCATTAAATTCTTTGAAAATTCATCTCATTACAAATACAGAGTCAACAATTTTTACAAGGTATCTGAAAAAGGACAACATAAACCAACCAAGTATCATAAAATCTCATACAATGATTTACAACACCTTACTGTATGAAGAAATAAAGGAAAAACTTGAAAGAAAATAGTGTAAAAAAATGAAAAAGTTTGAATTTACTCATCACAGAAGTAAATTCAATAATCATTCATTTGTATTTCTAGCAGGTTTCAGCCCATGCAGCTCACTCTTTCTAACTTGAAATCAATGAAACTAGACCACTGCTTGACACTCACCAAATAGACATAATAAAACATAGAATGAGGTGAACTTGCACATTTATCAAGATTTTCAATGTTGATGACTTGTGGTCACTTTCTTTAATAGCAGGTAAAAGAATATTAGGGTCAGAACTATTTCCCTTTTATTTTACTGAACATCTGTAGAAAATCGCATCAAATTTCCCATTTGCAACACTCTTACTCTGATTAAGTTTGCATGAGCTCCACTAAAACTGCAGAATTAAGAAGTAAAAAATGTTTCAATCATTTCAGGCTGGAACATAACACACAAAATACCATCAACTCCCTATGATTAATCAATGATAGAGATGAACAAATCTTACCTGAGCTTCAAACTCCTGGATGGTGTCTTGGATTGCCTCATCAAGTGGTTTGTCAAAGTCTTTTACATTTTCTACAACTACTTCATCATAGGTTTCTTGGCTGATGATCTTAGGCCCAGTCATATTAACAATAAATTATCAATATCCATTCTGCACCAAGAAGAGACATCAAATTCAAATGATGATGCAATGAACCACAAGGATGTCAATTTGATAAATTGGCTTAGACAGTTGGTGTCCATGCCACTGATGCCAGATACTCAGTTCAACAACATTGAACATACTTACAAGTTGCATGCACAATCACTTATACAAATACATATAGCCATGTGGCAGTTTATGTTGTTGGGTTCATGTTTCCTTCTGATATACTATCCATTCAAATTATTTTTGGTGCATGGTGCATTTTGTTCTAATTATATTTCTTTGCATCAGCATGGACTGAGAAAATAGCAACATAAATTCTCCCACAGTTATATTCTTATGTATCTTCTTGCCTAAGGATCCAAACCCAAATATTTTAGTTGCTAAAATCTTGTTGCTCCAATAATAATGTACCGTATATATTGGTATAGTTTGGCAGATGCTTTTCTTCTATACAAGTTAGATTGAAGACCAGAGCATGCTTTTTCTACCATCAAACGGGGTAATAAGGGACGGGCAGGGTAATAAGGGACAGTCCTCTGACATTTCACAGAAATGTTGTAGCAGCTAAACTAATTAAAATATTGCAAAACAGAAAATAGTAGCATAAACTTCAACATTTTTACTATTTATGTAGCATAAAGCAAGTTGAGAAGTCATACATTTAATACCTCTAAAAAATCCTCAAAAAAAAAGTGAAAATTGATATTTTGGAAAAGTACCTCTGCTAAGATCTGTAGGAAAAAATATATTCACTGTATTACAAAATTTTACTTACATAAAAGTTGCACACAGGTGTTGGCTTAAAAATGTGATTGACAGAATTAGCGCATCTCATTCCAGAAAAAATTGGTGGCCATTTCCGCACAACAGGGTAACAAGGGACACCCCCCCAGGGTAATAATGGACACCCCTAAACCATATTTACAGTAAAGCCTAGGTTAGCAAAAAAAGCTTGACTTTCTTCCACAATCGAGTTAAGGGAGTGTTGGATGAGATTTTGCTGCAGTAATTGCTCCATGAGTTCTGTTTTGCTCTTTTAATATCCCACTTAACCTTGGCTTCACATCCCTTGAATGCTACTAGGTTGTTTGGAGATGGCTGTGAAATCAATACGTACTCTCTTTGCCACCCTCTTAGCTTTGACAGCCTGGTGGCTGGTGTCCACTGTCCACCAAGACTTGTTACATTTGGGGGTAATAATTGCCATACTTCGTGAAAATACCTTGGTACTGGCAGAGATGATATGATCTATTAAGTTAGAGCAGCTGACATCAATTTCAAGAGACCAGGGTGCAGAGGGTGGAAGCAGCATTGCCAATATATGGGTTTTTAAGCCCAAAGCATCACCAACCATTTTCAAGATGCGTCGCTGGGTAATTTTTAATGAAAAGCCATTTACACTGAGTAATGAAAAACTATTTACAAGCCACAAACTTATTTACAAGGTTGCATGCACGTGTTACCCCAAATAACTAATTTTACCCTAAAACAGTCTGATTGTACAGCAAGTGTTGACTGAACATGTGATAATGCAGTCTGACCGCTCTAATATGACCGCAACTATGCAATCGTAAACTTGTTGTTTACATTTGTTGTTTTGGCGGGAACTCATCGCAACTGATTTCCGGACAAGCTTCACTGCATCCTGATCCAGCCAACATACTGGAAACTTTACTTTTTCTAAATAGTTGGCCAAAGACTAACAAATATATTAAATGCAAGAATTTCAATCTAAATGTGTCAGCAAGATCTTCTGAAGGCATAAATTTTGCTACCAAAGCACCGCCAAAGATCTTGCAATATTCATCCACTCTCTGCACAGTGGTCAAGACTCAAGAGATGGTGCTAAGTCACTCTGCTGCAGGGCAGTGGACCCTGCACCCCATGACCCACTTTTGAATCGTACAGAATCTCCAGGAGGGTTGAGCTCTGCGCTGAACAGTTGAGGCCTTAACACTAATGCAGGTAGTGACAAGGTAGTGGTCACTTCCCAAGTTGTCCTCCAAGCCTCCATGTGCTGATGTGCACTGATGCTAGTGGTAATAAGTTTGGGGAAATTATTGAGAGGTCCAGGGTAGAAAATGTGCAATGGTGATAGGTGATTATAGTGTGCACTATAGAATGTTGGCATAGATAGAGGAGTTAGCATGGCAAGCATCATATTATTCAGTAAAATATTTTCTAGGCTCTTCAAAGGTGAGTCAGCCAGGAGCCCAGGGCCTTGCTCAGAGTAAGATCATTTGAAAAGAATTCATCAACTGGATGGGTATCTGCAACTGGCTCAATGATAATGACTTTTCTTAACATGTTACTGATGTTAGGACTTAGGAGCAGCAGGCTCTGTCTCCTGGATGGGTTTGACAGAGTCTCTAAAGTCTAAGGTTAGTTAGTTAGTTTTGGTGCACGCAGTTCTTTAAGTAGGAGTCATTAGGCTCTCACCTCACATCCATGCAACAATATTGGTTAGGTTAGGTTAGGTTACAAGTAACTTACAACTCGTATACAGTGGGGGGAAATAAATATTCGTACACTTGAAAAATCGTATATTAATGTATGTAAGTACACAAACTGAACAGGAGAAGTGATTTATATTATGTATAGAGGTGCATTGTATTCAAAAATAGCATCAATAGAAATTAAATCTCAATGCAACAAAAATTAATGCAACATGTTAACTTCTTCGGGTCAAAAAAGTATTCGTACAAAACAACTTTTGACTAATATTTCACACCAGAACATTCCAGAATGTACTAGAAACATGTAGCACGTTCCAGTAATGTAATCAGTTCCCATAGTTAACGTATTTTGCAACTACCAGATCATTCTGCAACTGCCCGTAGTACAAGAAGGTCTCAAAAATGGCTAAAGGTAAAGAACTAACAAGTTCCCAAAAACAACTAATTCTATCGTGTTGGAAGGAAGGAAGAAAGTTATAGGAAAGATAGGAAGATTGCGTTGAAAACCAAAGACGATCAGGTGCTCCTAGGAAGATTTCTGCACGATCTGCTAGATTATTGGGACGAAAAATCCAAGAAAATCCACAGATTACTCGAGGAGAGTTGCAAAGTCACCTGAGTGCCTCAGAAATTCAAGTAACCAAACGAACGATAAGCAATGAACTTCACAGAAACGAATTAAAATCACGCACCCCAAGAAAGACCCCACTCCTAATGAAACGACATCGAGATGCCAGGCTGAAATTCGTCAAGGAGCATGAGGACAATGACTATGCTTTTTGGGAAAAGGTTCTTTGGATGGACGAAACAAAAATTGAGCTTTTCGGTCGAAATTATCGTCACCATGTGTGGAGGAAAGACGGTGAAGCCTACCTTCCAAAGAACACTGTGCCTACTGTAAAGTTTGGTGGTGGCAACTAGACTCCTGCATTTGGTATTTTTTTTAATCAGAGACGAGACGAGACAACAGGCTCTGTCCCGGTTCACAATAAAAACCGGGACAATTTTCAGCCTTCCATTGGAATTCCGGGACGATACCGAGACGAGACGAGACGTCCCGGTTAAAATAGGTACCTTAAAATTTCCTGGAATTTACAGCCATTTTAACAAGACATAACGAGACTAATCAATTATTGATGTGGTGTAAACTTTGGCTTACCGTCATACATTTATACAGAGCTGGGCAGCGCTACTTTGAAATGCAGTGGCCGCTACTGCTCTAAATGTAGCGGGCGCTACCGCTACAATGGCTTATATGTAGCGCCACTACCGCTACCAAAAATGTAGCGGCCGCTACATGTAGCATGCTACTGCCCACCTCTGGTAACAACAAACATGTTAACAATATTAACAGGCTGAGGTTGACAACATTACACCGAAATTGTTCGTAACGGTACAGTTTTATTCTGTAATTTATATTATGTGTGTATCATGATGATTTTTAAATAATATTTAATATTATTAAGTAAAATCTCTAAAGGCTTTATCTACAAATGTAGCGGTAGCGCTGTAGCTGCAAAACCTCGTATCGCTACTTAAATATGTAGCGGGCGCTACCGCTACCGCTACAATTGCTTAAATATAGCGCCGCTATACCGCTACTGAAAATTTAGCGGCCGCTACATGTAGCGCGCCACTGCCCACCTCTGCATTTATATAATAACTTGAGACATATCCTTTTACTATTCTGATTGGAGCTCGGCAATCAAAATTATTTTTGCGACGAATACATGATGTGGTTTAATATGGTAGTTAATCTAGACAGGCAAATAAAAATGGAAAACACGTTTTTTTCAAAAATTGTGTTCTATGATGGTTTGGAGGAGGCCATACTAGCTGTAGCTGGTGACATTGGCTGACTGGACAGACTTTAATTTGCCTCCAGCTCTATTACAGAATCAGATTCATCGATCTTGCCTTAAGCAATCTCCTTCAACAAAAAAGTTTGGAAAGAAAAATCAACAACATTTTAAAATACAACGAAATTCAAGTTGGAAAAAATATAATAAACAATGTTAAACAAGCCCAAATGTTTGATAACAATTCAGGAAACTGCGCAATTGTGAAGATTTCCTGCAGGCTTAGCACAAAATTTTACTAAAGGCAGAGATAATTTAATACTAGCTTTAGTATTATTAGGAATATCTTACCAGGTCCCCATTCCACTCTCTACTAATTGGCCAACTAATCTAGCTCTGCGTCCCTACTCCCTATGCGCTCCACGGCACCTGAACTCATTCCAAACGCGTAATAAACTCGACTCATATTCGTACGGTTCCCATAAGTGCCATTGAAGGCACGAAAAGGAAAAGAATTGGCGACAGGCCACATCAGGCCTACACTGCAGTGCCGAGAGCACTAAGTTATGTTATGATATGATAAATCTGCAATTAACTCAATTTACCTTGTAACTGTCTATGTCCCTATTAGCAATAAAGGGCTAACCTGTCATTCTTCAACCCATGTTTTCAAAATGATTCGTATCGTAATCAAAAAACTTGTTTTGTATCAAATAATCAAGACAAATCTCGTCTCGGCTCGTTATGTCT